TGGGATCCAAACCCTCGGTGGGAGCGCCGCCGTGCTCCCAAGCGGCGCACTGTAGCAGTATGCCACCGGGCCGGCCCTGGATAGTGCTTTTTATTGGGAGCTCGATCTTCTGAAATCACAAATTTGCGTCGTTTATGGGACAATCATGGCTAAAGACTTGTACACTTCACTCTCATCTGAGAACCTTAAGAAAGATCTTAATAAAGAACCATAAGAATCTTAAAAAGCATATTCTGTCTGCCTTTTGCTACCTGCTACTAATGGATACTTTCAACAAGAGACAAACATAGATAGGTTAATGAAAAAATAATCCTCCTGGAAAGACTGATATTCAAGAAGAGGACTAATATACTTGGTGATCCCTTTTGACTATATGACTATAGATGCTAAGAAAACTGTATACCAGAAGCATCTATTTAAACTCTTTAACTAACTAAACTTTCACACTTTGTTAACAGTAGGGACTATGTAACAGTTAATAAGATTTTGATTAATTGGAAGTTATGGCATAAAACTCCAGGATTAAGTTTTCTAGGGAGTATGCAGTACATTTGGCTACACAGGCAAAAAAGAAAAAGAAAAAAAAAAGTATCAGTAGACTATTAGGGACAGAGCTGCGGTCTGATTTAGGAAAAGGTCTGTACCATAAATATTTATTTAAAAAGTCTGGTTTTATTACTTCCAAGTACAAGTCAAGCTATAAAGAAAACTAACAACTATAAACTAAGAACAAACAGGTACTAAATAAGTAAAATGAGCTAAGTTAATGACACCATTACTGTTTATAATATGGTTACGTTATGTAATGATATAAAATGTCTATAAAACATTTAAAGTAGTTTAAGAACAAATTACTGGATATACAAATTTGAAAATAATTATATATGAGTGGTAAGTTATAATTAGATATAATTCCTTGATTTCTTTGTTTGATTTGAAGTTATTCATTTTTGATTGAATAAATCTTTATTTATGAATAAAATCTAATTCACAATGGAAGAGATTATTTTGAACTTCGTTCTTAAGAATCATGATTCCTTGGTCTAAATTGCTGAAAATTCTAATTAAATGCAGTTTTACTATACTTTGTTCTGGAAATATGTGTAGATCATTGAGATGCTCTATCCTTAGTTGTCATATGAAGTTCAATTTCTGGAAATATAAAGTAGGATGATTTTTCACCATTTATACTCACTAGTACAAATAAGTATATAAGAATATTGTGTGTGTAAAAATGTGTCATAAATTAAGTACAGATACAGCCAAGTTTTCATTATTTTCTGCATTAGAGCACTATATTATGAAAATTTCTTTCAAAATAATGACCCTGAAAATCTGTAAGATCCTGAAATGTGTTCTGAGTCATCAAGGAAGGATTAAACAATGTTCAATTATATTTAAGTTCAATTACATTTTTTGTACATTGTAATTTTTAAAAATGTGTTGACCTAAGCTGGTTTACAGAGCTATTAAAAAAACCCCAACGTAACTAGCTAAACAGTATTCACCAGCACAATCTATTCCATGGCCATTCTAGATAATGTATAAACATATGAAGTACATTCATTAACACTAATAGGCATGGACATTTTTCAGCCAATAAAGCCCAAGACACTCACTTACATGACTGTCATTGGGACCTAGTTTTCTTAGGCATATAATGGGCCTTGACTAGCTGTGGGAACAAGGAGCAAAAACTAGCGTTCTGTCTTAATTGCAGAAAAACGACACTTAGTTCTGATCAAGTATTTCTACTTCGGAGCTTAAGGTAAGTCATGGCAGTCATTTCTCAATTTTTCTCAAACTTTTTGTAAAGTGAGAAGAAAAAGGATTAGGAACAAATACTACTCCTATTTGCCAGAGTTCTATAAAACCACTAAATCATGAGCTTCCCCAGACAGGAAATGAACATTAACAATTCAGTTGATACCAGATTCGTTTCATGTCATTTATTAGAAAATACCCTCAGGGTACCTTCATCTAAAACAATGAAATTTAGCTTACTTAAAATATAAAATAATTAATTTTAGACATTCTCTAGACAGTTTATGCAAACAAATAATTTACTCTTCCTTTTACTATGACACAAGCTTCACTACCTAATCTCCAGTCTAACTAGAATGAAAACACCTTCATGCATCTATAGTGTAGTCAATTATAGTAGAAATGGTCAAGTTTGTACAAATACCACAATATTTAACTGAGAAATAATAATAAAACTTTAGCCACTCAATGCCAAATAATTAGATGAAATGTTTCTGTAGCCTTACATCCACTAAATTAACTGTATATGTTGGCACTGTACACAAGCAACCTCTTAATAAATATCCTTAGAAAATTTTGTTCAAGATATTTTAAAATGCCATGTTTTGTCACTGTTTTTTATTAATGTTCCCCCTATAGATAAAGTAGAGAAGATATAACTGAAGAAGATCCATAGCAGGTTGATAGGTAGGTAGGCAGGTGTCTTTCAACTTCAAGGCAGACTGCAGTCACCACCTCTGTTACTGCCTCTGACCCAGCATCAATAGGCGTGGAAGAGACAGAAAAATGATGGAAAAACTTCACCAGAAAGTGAAAAGTAGGACTAAGTAAAAACCAGAACACTTACAATTCATATTAGTGGCTCCTATATCTTGGCCATTCCTTAAAATGAGGTAATTTCCAGAGTATTAAGGTTTTTGTTTGTTTTTTAAACTTATTTGGAAATAGTTTTAAACTAACAGAAAAGTTCCAGGAAAATTACCGAAATCTCCCATAAAACAATTATCCAGATTTACTAGTTTTTAACATTTTGCCACATTTGCTTTATCATTCCTCCCATATATACATATATATTATTACTGTGTTTATCTTTTCAAACCTTTGAGTATAGGTTGCATATATTATGTACTTTACCCCTTAACACTTCAGTGCATATTTCCTCAGAACAAGAATATTCTGTTAGGTAACCAGGGTATAGTTGATAAATTTAGAAAACAACATTTTAATTTTATCTATAGTTCATATTCCAATTTTGTTAATTGTCCTAATGTATTTTATAGCAATTTTCTTTTCATCCAGTACAGGATTAAGTCTAGAATCACATATTGCTTTTAGTTGTGTTTGTTTTTAATTTAACTTTTTAAATAGGTAATGCATTCTTATGGTTCAAAAACATAAAAAATATGAAAAGGTATTCTGTAAAAAAACCCCCTCTCCCCCTCTCTCCCATTCAGCCGGTTTCTCTTCCTTCTACTTCCCAGTTAGGTCATCACTATTACGGCTTTCTTGTATACCCTTCCAGAATTTCTCTATGCATTTATAAGCAAAACACATTCTTATTCCCACGCCCTCTTTTTCAAACAGAAAGGTATCATACTATCCAGGCTGCTCTGGACCATATTTTTTTCACTTGGAGATTTATAAATTGGTAAAGAGAGAATGTCCTCGCTTTTTTTCTTTCTTTTTTTTTTAGGTATGAAGT